AATGTAATTCAGTCGTATTACTGTCACGATCCAAATATCGCCATTATGGCAGGCCTCAGAGTACACGCATAGTCATAGAAAGCGGTGTCGAGGTAGAACAGGTGAATCGCTCGCTCTTCAACATTTGAGGACTCTCTAACGCTGTTTCTATTGCGCTTCTAATTCTACTACTGAACGATCTATCCCCTCCTCCCTGTTCATCCATTGAAATGTTAACCCTGGGATTTGATGAAAGTAGGTGAACCTATCGATTTGGTGGATAAGCTGGTCTATCTGAGCATCCGCAGCTGTCTGGCAGAGGACGAAGTCACTTCCAGATGTGGAAAGGTCGTAGCATCGTTTGCTAACCTGCTACGTACGTTTGACGCCTAGGAGACTTCAGTTTCTATCCAGGTTGCCGGAGTGAATATCTGGAGGTATAGGCACCTCTGGATGATTGTGGTAAGCTAGCACTAAGTCCCTTCCCCGTCCACCTTTACTCTTTTCTTTACAATAAGGCTTTCAAATAAATCATGGTTGTACGGCAGTGAAGCATCAATGTTAAACACTGATGTCATGCTGTCGATGATGATGATGATGTTAATGATGATGATGATGGCGATGATGATGACGATGATGAGAATTCAGCTTGACTGTCAATGGTATAGTGCCTACTTTATGGATCAGAGACAGCTGCATGTGAAGGAACTTTGAGGGCTCCGTGTGTTTGACCTTCGAAGTATTACATGAGCCTGGTGCGAACACCAGATCAGTAGGGCTGAAGTAAGCCGTAGTTTCCGTAAAAAGTTAATTAGTATCATCATTAGCTAGCCGCACCGTAGAGGTTGGGCCATGTATTTTGTATGCCAGATGACCGCTTTCCTCTTACAGCTCTCTTCGCCCTACCTTGTTTCAGAAGGTGTCGATCCAAGGGCGGCCAGTTCATGACCTAGCAACAAAGCAACGAAGTCCTGACCCGTGAATTCACCCGCGTTAGTACATGCCGTCTCCCCGAATGGGAACCCCGGAACAGAACGAACTGATGGTTGGTGACCCTTAGAGACGTGCCAATGCCATGCAGTCAATGGCGGTCTTACACAAAGTTATCGCCTTCATTGCTCAGCTGTCAAACCCTGCCACACCGGGTAAACAGAACCAATAGACGTCAATGACCTGATCGGGCCGACACATTTCTCTCTCTCTCCTTATCCTCGTTCAAAGAAGCTGTAGCAGTTGGGCTTTTGATGCACGATTTATGGGATAACAAACTGGACTGAAGTAAACTGAAAGCAGTCACCCCTACAAATTCTGCGTGAAGGCAGATGGATACCCGAACATTTGAAAATAATCGTTAGTTTCCTAAGTGGCATTCAGATAAAACTGGGTACTCAATTATACAAAAAAAACAAGAAATCAATGAACAGAGGAACAGCCTAGCTTTATGCAAGGGGATTCACTACATACCTGGTTCCTGAGGCTGTTCAGATGCGGTCTCCTTTTCTGGAACAAGTGGGAGATGATCACATATCCAGCATAGAACTCATTCTACGAGTACCCCTGTGTATATTGTCTCAAGAACACCAAAGTACATTGGTTTGCCGTGCACAAACAGTGCCTCAAGAAACACTGCCTCAAGTTTTATCTGATACGATACTTTGAAGTCACAACTAGGAAAATCAATCCAAAACCCCTGATTGCATGAGATCTCTGCCGATGGCACCTATCAATGGATCTCTGTCCATAATTACCGCGTGGTTGAAGGTAACATTGATTCGCAGTGCTGATGCAATCCACCGCTGATTGGCAAATCGGACTAGGGCTTGTCCTGTACAGGTTCCGCTTTCCAACAGATTCTAGTCAACTGTTGCTGTGAAATCGCTCACACACAGGTCACTCAATGGGATCAACAAGTGTGGCAACCGTGGCAAGGTGGTTACAGACGCTGTTACCAGTTCAACAAGATTATGGGCTCAGCCGGAATTGCTCAAGGCGAGGAGTTGATGGACTGTCACTGTTCCGTTCAATGACAGTCATCCATCACTTACTCCACCGGTGAGGCGGAATAATGCTCTGGAACCAAGGTATCAACAATCTACTGGTTGATTGCAGGTCAAACGGCAAACCATCATTTTGAGTGTAACTTTGCTGATTAAACTTGAAATCCGAAAGTTATATTCCGGTGCACGTTTTCCAGAAAATCCGCCCTGAGGAGTTCATATTGTATCATTTACGCTGACCAGTTAATCAGAAAAATCTAAAATGATGATGCTTGCCGGATCGAGTCTGGCTTTCAGGAGAAAACAGCCAGTTTATTGTGGTTAATAACCGGATTCGAAAAGATGTAGGTTCGAATTCGAAATTCGAGGGCAACCGACGTTACACCGACGTTATACATAGCTGCTGTTCCCGCCCCAGTGCCTAGTGCCGGAAAAAAGAAAGACAACAGCTTTGTTGCGAACAAGTGGATGAGTTCGTGCGGGTGCAACAGTACAGTGGCTCAGGCTGTTTTATCGAAGGTGACTGTCTGACCTTGGTCCAAGACTGTCTCGCGCTATATATTGAGGGGTCGCTGTCTGACCCTGATCCAAGGCTCTCTCGCACTGTTTGACTGTTTGACCCAAGGCCGTCTCGTACTGTCTGAAATTAATACAAAGCTGTCTCATCAGGTTTCGGATATTCTGGGAAAATCTTCAGGAACCTGACCTTCCTGGCAGCCTTCCATTTCTAATCACCAAGTCCATCTGTAGTTTTGGTCTGTCGCTTGGTTATCTGCTTCGGTAATGTTTGTAGTATGTTGATCTCAGTCGGGTTGGGATATCAGCTATGCCATTCCATTCGTTCATGGGTACTCACTGGACTACAAAGAGTTATCCCTTTTCAGAACGAAAGATGTACTAACTCAAATGACCTAGCTAGGGCTTAACCTTGGGACACACTACGATCCCCAGATTTACAGATTGTGGAATTCTGAAAACTTCTGGCTAATGTGAGACTAAACCTTACACAATTCACTGGTCGACAAAACTTCTGCGAATAAAATACGTTCACCCAAAAAGTACAACGACAGCGCCTGATTATAGCTATTTCGACCAACCCCGCCTGTATTACTGACGAATTTTTGTTAGGCTACTGGTAAAACGATGTTCCCTTGTGAGGGGCTAAATCCATAGCAGTGAGATTGAGGACTACCCTTCACACCAGAACTGTCTCATTCTGATATGAACTAAATGTTCAAAAGGGTTATATTCTTAACCCCAGCTGAGTTTTCCTCATGAGACGGAATAGGTGCAGTTCTGATGGATAGTGAGGCTTCTTCTACGGACCAGTCGCTACTTACTCACGGCCTCCAGTTTACCTGTACACCTTTGATCATTACGCCCTCAAAAATATCACGGGAAAAAAGCCTCGTGGAGTAGATTAGTTGTCTGGAACAAAAGTGGAAACAGCAAATCTGATTTGTCCAATGCAACGATGCATTACAGTGATCTACATCTCGGGGAAACATTCGTAGCTTAACTAGCGTTTTGCTTTCACTACTTTCAACATTAGCAAGTAGGCAAAAGAGTGCATGGGTTTTATATATAGTTCACATTTTTGCCACAGGAACCCTGGCAGTTTAATTTCTCGCTGTCCCTCTTCTCATGAGCCAGGAGAATTCACAGTGAAGTAATGCAGCAGCTTCCTCCCAGCCGCTTCACTCGAAAGTTACGAGAAGAAGATTTTGCCGTAGCGAAAACAAAGTGTATGGAAGTGAGGATTTCAACCAGTTTCCGCAAATAAGAGCCAATCGTAACCGAAGATGAAGTACATCCTTGACTATCCAAACGGTAGACTTCAGAAAAACAAACGTATCTGCAAAAGTTGTCGACTGAATGCAAGGCATGTTGCACACTTCATCAACATGCATCCTGAACCGTAATGAACTCACCAGACTTCTCCGGCATCCCAATGTCGGGATCACCGAAAATCAGTTGGATTGCTGCTGAGGCTTGCTGTGCGTTTGACGAACCGTGCACGGCATTCTCAAGGATGCTGCGGCCAAATGTGGCGCGGATGCTGAAATATTGGCAAAGAGGGAGTTACACCAGACATGATTTGTCACTACTAATTCAACATACAAATTAGTTAAGACAGGTATTTGAATAACACAAGGAACGGTAACTGACGAAAATATTGGTTGTGTTTCACCGGAAGTTCGAAGTGGTTTTCGCACTTCCTTCGAGGGAAATGCAGTGCTAGATCTCACAGTTCGAAGTAGATCAAAAATTAACTCGGCAAGGTAACAAAAGCTGCTCAGGGTCAGAAAGCCATATCGAAAGGATAACGCACACAGAAACTGGCAACCGTTTTCGCTTTGCAGGAAATCTAATGAAAGGTGAAGAAGAAGGAGCCCCACACCACCGCCACTAAGCCGACTTACCTTGGTTCCGACATCGCTGTGCTGTGTCACAATGGAAACGAGCATAGTTGGCAGTCAGTGGACAATCAAATTTAAAAACCGTCTTACTACTGGTGACCCATGAGTAGTAGTAGACGTCGATTAAAAAGGTGTCTATGGAACGATGTGACAGATACTGACAAACAAACGCACACGGGTGACCACCCGTGAAACCCATTAACGGAATATCTTTGTAATTTACTACTCATAAGGTTGCTGGAAATCCATTGACAGCCCACGACCGGTTTCGCCCTTCTTGGGGCTCATCAGGTAGGCGCAGTCCCCGAGTTTCCGTCAACCTTATG